TTTACCATTTTTAATATTATTATTATTATTATTTTCATTAAACTAAATTAAACTAAATTAAATTCAATATATTATTACAAAATAAATCATTATATTCATATAATAATTACAAAATTATTATTTCAAAAAAAAAAATCAAAATTAAAATTAAGAAAAAAAAAAAAGAAAAGAGTTGGGGTATTACAATAATGCTGTGTAAACCAATGATTTTGGGAGGAGTGCAATATAATAACCATTAGTGTCTAGCATTGTAGCGCCCGGGGAAATTGAAGAAATTGAAGGAAGGAAAAAAAAAAAAAAAAAAAAAACGAGCGTGCCACGTCAGCAGCCACGTCAGCAGTCCTGGCCAACCAGGACCTGCCACGTGGCAAAACCACGTCGACCGGGGACGGGCCACGTTGGCGATCCGCGTGCGCGTGATCGGACGGTCCAGATCAATCGCGCGCACGGACGGCCCAGATTAAAACAAAATAGACGGCTGAGATCAAAAGGCAAAAGGGTATAAATAAGACCCCCACACCAGACCCAAAACCCTAGCCGCCTGCCCTCGCCGGAGAAGACGAACCAGAAGCCGGCGCCGCCATTCGCCGCTGCACCGGAGGGATTTTCGACTGCCGATCGAGGTAAATTTCGTACTCCCGACTCGTTTTTCCACGCTGATTTCCCCAGTGGCCAAATCGGAGCCAAAATCCCGGCCAAACGGCCGGAAAACACGGCCGAAAGCCAGCGGCGCCGCCGCGCCCCTTCTCGGTTTTTGCCTCCGATGAGGCCCTTCCCGGCCTCCGTTTAATGCAATTTTTATATCACCGTGATCACCATTCTTTTCTCTACAGGTTGATCGGAGCCGAATCACCAAAACACGAACTTCACCGGAGAGCCGCCGCACCCGAGAGCACCGCCGCCGGTAAGCTTCGGTTTTTCGTAAATTTTCGGCCCCCCGAGGGCCGTAGGGTTGTTTTATCGCAGGAACCAATAGGAGTGTGGCCGAATTCGGCCGAAAACGGCCAACCCGAGGCAAACCGCCGCCGCAAGCCGTGTTCGGACCCCGAAACGAGTAAGGACCCCTCACCTTATTTCCTATCACGGTTTTAAAGTTCAATAAATGATAAAACGGTATTTCATGAATCAACGAATGTGTGAAATTGCTTAAGGTCGCTAATGGAGTCCGAGTCTAGTGTGTTTGTCGGTTAACTGTTATTTGGCCTGTTTACAGTTTTAAATGCAGCATGAGGTTCAACGTTTTCATTTTATAGTTTCGTGTGCATATTTTACTGTTTTATTGATTATGGATTGAATGACCGGGATATTGATGCTGTATGTTGTCTGTTTGGCATAAATTATCGTTTTGCTTGTTTGTATGTGATTGATAATGCTGACTGAGGGAAAAGGAGAATGAAAGATTATGTAAATGGAAATTGTATAATGTGTTCAGCCTGACTAGATATCCTGGGAGATGGTGGACGGACCGGGTCCGTAGGGAACCCTACCGGGATTGTGGTCTCCCATACCGGACGGGGTATGGAGATCTTATGTGTTTTGGCGCCCATACCGGACGGGGTATGGGGACGGCCCGTTTCACCCTCATACCGAACGGGGTAATGAGGTCTATGGTTTGGCGCCCTTACCGGACGGGGTATGGGGATGGCCCTGGAATATGATTTCAAGTGTTAAGGGTTAACGGGTAACGGGACCCCTATGGATCCCCATGGATACTAGTGGGCTGGTAAATGAGGAAAATATGTTGTGTAACGATTGAATTACGAAAAGCTTGATAGGTATTATGTTATACAGTTTATATATATGGTTTCATGATGATGATGATGTTATTGCTTTCGTATATTGTTTTATGAATTTCACCGAGGTAAGTGAATGGTAAAGGTTTTATTATTAATAAAAGGATTTGTTGTAAATTATGCTCCATTGGTCTTTTTGTGTTTTCTACCCACCTTTACCTCCGTGACGGTGAGATATCGTGATGTCTTTACTAGGCTAGTGTAGCTCATTCCTTATTTAATCATTTCAGATCAAGAGGACATCGTTCCCGAGCCGGTTCCGCAGGAGGACGACGAAGGGGACGCCTAAAGACTCCATAGTCATATTCGTAGCTTTTACTTTCAAGTTTCTCCTTTAGGTAGTTTGATCTTTTATATTTTGTGAGCACGTTTTTGGTTTTAGTGTAAGGGATGTTATTCAAATTTTGACTTCGCTTCCGCATTTGATATTTTTAATATACCTTTCATTATGAATTTCCGGGGCTGTTACAAGCATCTTCCTTTTTTTTTTAAGTAAGAACTTAATACTTAATTAAATCTACTAGTAGCAAGTTAGTCTTGTAATTTATTATTCTTAAAAAATGATCTTTCTAGTCATTTAGCTCAAGGATAATCGAAAATTTAAAATACTCATCATATAATTTTTTTATTAAAAATAATGACCTCATTTTTAATCACTGTATAGTCTCTAATATACAATCCTCAAGTTCTATATCTTTAACAAAACTCTTACATACTTATTTTACTTACTAACTTGTGGAACATATTGATATTAGCATCACCTTACGAGACTTCTATCTCAAGTTATTTTTCTCTATCAAAAGATTTCTTCAAACTCATTAAGCACAATATTCAATCTCCCTACTTGATCCTCTAAAGGACTGACCTTAGACTCCAATATGTCCAAATGATTTCGTTTGCTAAGGAGGCCTTATTTCTTGATTATAGTGGTTCCCAACGATAAGTGCTATGATATTAAATCTAAGAGTAAGAGTAAGTTAATCATCTAAGTAAAACTAACTTTCATTCACTGCTTATAAATTAAGTGCAATGAGAAAATCTGAGAGAGAAAGAAAGAGAAATTACAAACTCACTTTTTATAAAAATCTAGTCACTCATGTACATATACGTTTTTTCCTCAAGTCAGCCACTTGAATATTTTCTCTATTCTCCAAAATTTTCTTATAATATATTTTTTTCTTTTATGCCAAGCTCCACCACTTACACCCACTTGTTTTCTTTTATGTGAAGCTCTACCAACCATTTGTGTTTTCCTTAAATAGAACTAACAACTGCTTGTTGATCTTGGTATAAAGATTCGATACTTGGTTTTCCTCAAACATAATAATCAAATACAAATTCTTTTTTTTTTTTTAATAATTCCCAAGAATATAAAAAAATATTTTCACTTTTCTTCTAAAAAGAAAGAGATATAAAGCTCAAAAGTTTCTATAACAAGATTTGGCTCAAGTGAATAATTGATTTTTTGAGAGTTAACACCCAGATCCCTAAAAAAAGACAATTATTTACATTCACCTTCAATACCTAGAAAGATAAGGTGATATTTTATTCAACATTTGCCTTTGACACCTAAAAAAGTAAAGTGTTATCCATCATATATATGTTTTCAATTCTTAAAAAGGAAAAACGAATATCTTACATCCAACTTTAATTCTTAAAAGAAAAGGTGGACATTCTATTTTGCATATGCTTCCAATTGCTAAAAAGAAAAAACATTCATCTTGTATTTGCCTTCAATATTAAAAAAGATTGAGCATCATTCATTCATATCTGCCTTCGATTTTAAAAATAAGAGAAAATCATCTTGTGTTCATGTTCAATGCCTAGAAAAGTAGGGTGATAATTTCATCATGCATCCATTTTGAATGCATAAGAAATAATATGATATTCATTATGCATTCGCCTTTAGCATCTAAGAAGATAAGTTGTCATTCATTTTGTGGATTTGTTTTCAATTCTTTAAAAGAAAATGCATAAACTTGGATTCACCTTCACTACATAAAAAACTAGGTAGTAGTTTATCGTGCATTCATCTTGAATACCTAAAAAGTAATGTAATATTATGTTTTGCATGTACTTCCAATCCCTAAAAGAGTAAGAATTCATTTTATTTCATGCATTTGCCTCAATTCTTGAAAAAGAAATATATCAATTCTGCTTTCGTCTTCAATGTCTAAAAAAATAAAGCGGCAATTCATCATGCATTCGCCTTCAATACTTAAACATATGAAGCGACATTTCATTCTGCATATGCTTTCAAATCCTAAAACGAAAGGTATTCGCTTTACATGTATACAGTGTTTTGTTAAAAAATAAAAACAAAACACAAAAAAGAAAAATAGATGTAAAAAACCAAATGATAGTGAAAATGCATGACAAGGAGTATTTTGCTTTATATAGGCAAAATTAGATGATTCTAGTTTTTATTTGGCCTTTTTATAAAAATCCAAGTGAAGAAAGTAGCACTTATATGATAGGTCCCAGTCAGAGCTTCACACTCAAGTAAGGTTTTCTACTTCATGTAAGAAAAGACCAGAGAAAGTTTTTGGATTTCTTAATTGCTTTATTGATGAATGTTGAGGTCTTTAAATAGGCATGAGTACAACTGACTGGATAATCTTAGATAAGAACAAAAGATACAAGTAAATCAAAAGGAATTCAAAAAAATAAATATTGGTGCTGAAATTCTGTAGTGGATAACAGCTCATTTGTGATTTTTGGGTGGATTTCTTTCTCTGTTTGTTGCAGCCTGTGCGGAGCAGCTAGGTTGATCAGTTATCCAAATATCTCGAATTTTGTTTGACTTTCCTCTATGATCATTGAATTTTATCATTATACCATCGTTTTGTTTATATTTAATTAAAATCAAAAGAATAAGAACAAAAATGTCCCAAATTTTTCATGTCATTTTTTTGTTAATTTTGCTATATTTATTCCATATTAATAAAGAAACAACAAAAGTACAAAAATGAAATAGAAAAAAGAAGAAGTATAAAGGGTGGGAAAGAAAAGAAGACAAATTTAGGGAGGAAATGAAAAATAAGAGAAAAAGAAAGACAATGGGCATAAATGAAGAAAGAGAAAAATGTGAATGAAAAGATGAAAAAGACATGGGCCATAAATATAAAATAACTTCTATTTAGACCAGGCCCAAAAAAGAACCCAATACATTTTTCATTCTTTTTCTTTTCTTTTTTCCCACTGAGACTGTCCCCTAAAGGAGCTTAGCCTGGTTCTTAACAATCTTTTTTCTTTTTTCTTCCTCGACCAAGCTCGTCTTGAGGTTCCTTAACTTCCTCCCCAAAATGGTGCATGGGGAAGACCTTAAAACTCATATCTTCCTCAGGTGTCGACTATAAACAAGAAAAGAGGGGCTACGATTTTGTTTTGCATGAGAAAGAAGAGATGATGACAGCATGGGAGAGGCGAATTGAAGATGATTGGCTGGAGGTAGGGTGCTGTAAAGAAGAGGTAGTAAGATAAGGATCGGAAGAGGTAGATGATGACAACATGGAATTCATTTACAACTTGATGTGAATTGCCGGACAAAAAGCCAGTCAGCGGGATCAAAGCAGTATGATTTGTGAATCTCCAGAAAACCCAGGTGCTATACTGAATTTGTTCTGAATTTTCTTTTTCTGTCTGCTTGATAATTGAGATTCGATATGGAACCCTAACATTGCGGATGAGGAAGAATAAAATGTTGGTTCCTCGCGATCCAAGTCGAAGTTCGAAGAGAATTATGGCAACCGCTTTAATTTTCTCATGTGATTTCCAGTCACGTTGTGGGTTGATAATACGAATATAATTTTCTGGAGGAATTAGAAAGAACATGGTTGGGATTTATTCGGACGATGGAAGTCGAAGGCACCTACCATCGTGGATGCTGGGTGTTTCTTCTAAGGATGAAGCAAAGAAACAATGTGAGAGAAGTGAAAATATCGAAAAGTAGTGAAATCAAATGCTCAGCGGAAAGATAAGAAATCTCTGGTTTTTTAAAGTGTGAATCTAAGGGAAAAGAAAACGAAATCAACTAAAACCTAAGGATGGTGCTTCAGATGGCGGTATCAATGTTTGTGCAAGTGGTAATGAATCGAGAATTCCATCTCCTCTTTATGATGCTCAGGATCTGACTGTGGAAGATCTTCTCGCCATTGCTGAAGAGGTAGAATTTCCCTCCTCGAAACAAAACTTTGCCCAATCCGTTTATACATCTATCCCTTTGCTGTGATGAGGAAATATACATACGTTCTAAATTTATATACGTTTATTGGTGAGATTATGTAGAAGTTGCATATTGGATTTTTTTTTTTGTGTAAAAAATGCTATTATAGAATTTTGTAGTTCTATTTTCATTTCCTCTCTCACTAAGTTATATGTTTCTGTAAATGATTGTTGTACATTTAGAGAAGGTTTTCATTCTACCAGAGGGACCCTGAGTGTTCAATCTTGTAATCTAAATCAATAATTACATACTCTTGCATCATATTTCTCAGGTTCTTTTACTTATTTGCAGTATGTTAGAGGTGATAACAATATGGGAATGCATAAATTATTAAGCAAAGAATCCGAATTGGTCAGGGAATCTACGGCCCCAGGAAATCAATTGGGAGATTCTAATATCCTTGCTTTGGGTTCATCTGTTCGTGAGAGAAAATCAAGAAAGCCACTAAATGTTCATTTATATTATTCCTTCAATACCAAATTCCTTACAGAAAATTGACCGTGATACATACAGCCCGGTCGACTCTCTCTCTCTAGAGTCTCTCTAGAATTCTATCTTCAACTGCACTTTTCTTTGCCATTTACAACATACCTACATTCAGCATTCCAGTAAGCAAAAAAATCAAGAAACTGTCATTCTTTCTGCCATTTACACCACCAGAAAAATTAAAGAACGAAACTCAAGAAACAGGGAACCCTGTCATAGAAGCCGGAGCAGATGAATCCTTGTAGCACCCAAGACTGATCTCTCGTGGTGCATGCACAAGCGGTGGCGACAGAGAAAAACCACAGCGGAGATCGTAATCTCGGCATACGGAGGGATCAGACAACACCTGTCATGCCTCTGTTATGGCCTTCAAGGCTCCCTGTGTTGCAGCCGAGCGGTGGACATCCGGATGAACTTTCTTCACCAGTTTGCAGAAGAAATTGTCAATGCGGTCTCCTTTGGGGACATTGTGGTACTTGGTGAAAAACAGCACCGCATAATGATTCTGCTCGCCAATGCTTAACCTCTCAGAAGCTCGAAAGTGGAATCCAATAGGCGGCGACATATTTATCGATGTTCCAGAAGAATGAGTCGAGCGTCTTGGTGAGACTGGCTGTCTCTAATGCCTCCCGCATATCTCCCTCCGGGAAATTCTCCTCCGCCATCTGCAGCAGAACCTCTGTCATTCTCTTCCTATGTTTCCTGATTCTTGGAGCTCAGTTTGTTTCTCTCAATGGATATTTTTGAATGAATGTGGGCAGTAGTAAGCTTATGGGTATTCCTATATAATGCTTGTGCTTGTGCCTTAATTTTCTGAATCCTTAATTTATGTATTTAGTTTGAAGTATTTTCCCACAAAAATTATATATAACTGCGAGGTGAAAAAACTATTTTTACAAAAAACATAATGTATATTATAATTCTTTACATTATGTTTGAAATAAATAAATTTTTTGATAAACATATAATATATATATATATATAGAAAGCCACTAAATTATAATTTACTTTTATATATGATAAGTTAAATTAAAATATTAGTAGACAATTGATTAAAATTACAATAAATATACTAATATAGTTACAGATTAACAAATTCAGAATTTATTATAATATCAACTAATATAAGTATCTATCATTAGTATTAATTAACAGTTATACAATCTATTGAAAGTACATTTTCTTAAAGCTCATTTATGTATGAATACAACATAACTTGTGAAAAAATCATATTAATTGAGGACTTAAATTGTTGGAATATATAAAATAATTTTTATGATAGCAATATTTAATCCATACTAATATAATTCTTAAACTGTTGTAAATTAAGATATATCTAAAAAAATTTAAGAAGAACGTTGAGCAGAAGAATGTCATGGAAGACCAGAATGTAAAGGTCCAAACCCCTACTGGGGATTTTTATCATATGACTCGTAAATAAGGAGAATAAAACAATACTGAAATTTATAATTTAATGAAAGCAGTTTAGAGTTTAGGGTTATATTTGTTACATAATTTATTTAAAATGCCCAATATAGATACATGGAATGATCAATCTTTTCTTCGAAATTGGAGAAGTAGAGATATTGATCCGGATTTTAGTCGTCTTAATTTGAAATGGTTAATAATAAAAGGTGAGCTACACTATCTCAGTAAAAATATCAAACGTCTTACCACTGATACGGAAAAATTAAGGGTTGTAAAAATTGTAAACAACCAATGAAGCTCATTCTTTAATAAAACTCATTTTCACTGAAAATATTAATATTTTCTCAACTCACCTGTAAATTCCTAAATGCCATTTATTAAAGCAAGAATAAGAATAGCAATCTACAATACTATATTCTAAAATACATATAGCAATAAACCTTTCATTATTTTCCAAAATTGGATTCCCACCACATTCATCTTTATCATTTTACCTTGCCTACCAATGCCAGTGGGGGTCTATAGGGGTCCCCACTACACGTGGACACGAACATTCATTCTATAATCAAACACCCATCTCCATACCTCGTCCAATAATGGACGCCAAAATACACAACCACCTCAATACCACACCTGATATAAGCGTATTAAAACAATTCTCAACCTTGTTCCACTGGGAGTAACGTCTACGGTATAGTTACTCTAGGCACCAAGTCCATACACTCTTTTCCAAGACATCCGGTAAGCCTTTTTATTAAACACTATTAATTCATGCATATATTTTTGTTTATTTACTATTTAGCCTTAAGAGACACGTATATCTGTATTCCAACAAAACATAAGTAATGAATTCATATTTTAGAGTAAGTGCATGAAATAAGCATGCATTATATTGATAGAAACCTATTAAACACACAATCGAATGACAAGACAACATGTATAGAGAGGTCTTACCACGTTCGTCATAGAATTTAGAACAAATATATCAAAGTAATCAGTACAGTGAATAGAATAGCATAATAAACAACTGTAGGGATAATTACTGCAATTAAAACTCAAACAAGTATAAACTAACTGGTTACTTGCTCCATTGATAACCTGTACTTTAATCAATTAGAGGACCGTAGATTAATTTAATTTTTCATGCATTTATCAGTTTAACTTCAATTTTACTATAAAAGGGAAAAGGGGTGAGGGATTCTTACCCTGGGTCGGTGTCTAAAACACTGTCTTTTTCACTACACTTTCCGACGGTTTTTAATTCTTGGATTTTTTGAATTTTTATGCTAAAATCGAAATGTACATCAAATAATGTGAAAATACACAAAAAAGTA